TCTCTCTCTCTCTCTCTCTCTCTCTCTCTCTCTCTCTCTCTCTCTCTGTCTCTCTCTTCTCCTGTATGTAGGGATTGTAGGCTCCACCTGCAACAGTTGTACTTGTGTTATTTTGCTGCTGGATACATATTACCTTTTTTTGTTTGACAGGCAGTGAACAGCAAAGGCGCAGGTCTATTCAGGACTTAACAATTGTTGGATCAGAGTCTAATCAGGTAAGACCTTTTCATTTAAAGAAAATTAGCCTGACAGCATCTCTAGGTGACCTGCTAAGGTCTTGAGACTGAAACTTTGGTAATGTGATAATCAAAATATTAGAATATTGGGTATTCAGTCAGAAACAATACCTGTTTTGTGTTAAGGAGGGCACAAAATGAAAACTTTGGTACCATTGGCATTTTTCTCAGATGCTGGATTGAAAGCAAATTAATTATGGGTTTCAGCACAGAGCTACAAATTTCATGCTTCCATTTCACTAAGAGCAAGGTTAGAAACCATTGCATCCTTGAAGGAAATGCTGGATAATATTTTCAGCAGAGGCTCCACGAGCCAGTTGAGGTTAACCCCTTCAGCTTCCAAAGTATTCCATTATCCCACCTATCACCTTCTAAACATCTTCTGAGCAAAAATTCTTTTCAATATCAATTTTAACATTTTCACTTTAATTCACAAATGTACTTTGTTATAATTTTGTATCTCTTTAAAATTGTATACTTCATGTACTACTCAAGTAATGTCTTTAGTTTTACAGAACTTTACAAAGAAATACACCTGGCAGTGATGGTTAATAATTGAATCATATGACTTTACAATTCCAGGATGATGAATTTAAAGTGATTCTTCTATTTTTGTTTTACAATGTATATTTTGGATGTTGGTCGATTAGCGCTGTGCAAATTTCCATTCTTTCCAAGATTGATAATTGATATCCAGCATCGATTTATTGTGATTCCTGAAGACAGTAATATCCCAGGGGAGTTTGGCACCTGGGACAAATCACACTGTTAGCAATTCCCTGCCTTAGCCCAAACAACACTGCATGCCCCTCCCCAGCTCTTGTTGCACAAAGTATCCAAATTTGCCAGTTTATCTTTAACAACACCTTGGGGCCTCAAAACTGAGCCTGAAATGAAACAGAAGATCACATGGTGCCACTGTCATCTGTTCAAAAGTCAACCCAGTCCTGGCTTGTGTTTTCTCCAAGGTGCCTCTGGTTGTAGCACAGGCCCCAGGGTAGTTGCCCCCAGTTCACCCCAGCCTTAGAACGTTCTTCTTGATGGTTTATGATAATCAATCATTCAAATTTCAAATAAGACATGTATTGTAAAATGATAGCTTGGGCTGATTTGGCTATAGATATGCTTATTTCTCTTATAATACTGCAGTCTTTTTAATTAACATTAAGGTTTCTTGACTGAGTTGAAGGACTAAATCATAAAGATATAATTACAAAATTGAGTTTAGAGAAATCATCACCGATGTCGTATTTCTGTTCCCATCTCCCTTGAAAGCTTTAGTTTCACAGGTCTGTCACCGTGGATACCTCACCAAAATGCCACAGACTTCTTATGGCTGAACAAGATCCATTTTTATAGTGGGGTTTCCAAGTCTTCAGCCCATGTTTTAAGAGTCGTATTCCATGATTTGGTATATTTTGCAATGAAAACAGCAAGACCACTTTTGATCATTATTCCTGATGTTTGGAATGCTGTATAACTTTGGTATCATAACCAGTTCCAAATCTGATCTCACCTGATGCTCACACTTCCCAATATTTAACAGAATCAGCAGGAATCTTGCCTTCCGTTTGGAAATTGATGGAGATGATGGTTCTTCCGAGAAGTGCAACCAGAGACAAGTCTATGGCACCAAGGACATCAGCTCTACAGTGCGGGGAATAAAGAATAGAAGGGCAGTAGTGATAAGGATGCCATAGACAGGGAATCTGATGGGAGTTTATTCAGTATTAAAGATATTCCAGGATGGTGTGTTGCCTCTCTGGTGCCAGTTTCAAGGATGGCACAGAGTCGCGGCAGGGCATCTTTATAGGGTAGTGGGATCAGCCAGAAGTCATGGCCTCCTTTTGATATCTACAATATAGTTAAAAAGAAAGATGAGATCCTGAAAGCAGATTTCTGGGGCTTAGGAAGTAAATTATAAAGCAAGCCCTCAAGCAGTATTCTCAGGATCAATCCTAGTGCCACATGTTAGTGAGCATGAGAACAGGAGGATTGATCAATTAAACATGTGACTGGAGAACTGATGTAGGCGGGAGGGCATCAATTATCAGAGGCATTGGGATCTGTTCTGAGGCAGTTGGAATCTGCACAAGCGGACGGGTTATATATTAACAGGACTGGAACTGAGAACTCAGGCAGATTTGTTAGTGCCATTGGAGTTGGTTGAAAGTAGGTTGTCAGGGTGATGGGACCTGAAGGGTGACCCAAATTGGAAGGGAGTAAAGTTGGTAACAAGAAGTAGAAAAGTTGCTAGTGAAAATAGAAGACAGGAGAGACAAAGCTGAGCATTGAATATGCCTCAAATGCTGAATTGCATCAAAAAGACCAAGTTAGGAGCACTCGATCTGAATGCACATCATTTGCAATAAGATAGATGATCTAAAGGCACAAATAGAGGTAAATGATTATGATACAGTTGCCATCACAGAAACATGACTGCATGGTGACCAGGATAAAAACTGAATGTGCAAGGATATTCAATGGCTAAGAAGAACAGACAAGAAAGAAAGGAGGTGGAGCTGTGCTAATAATACGAGGGCCTCAGATTCAAAGAATAATGCCTGAAATCTATTTGGATGAAACTCTGAAACAGCAAGGGCAGCAGGCATGTGTTGGTCGTTTAATGTCAATGAAACAGTAGTTATAGTGTAAGGCCGGATACAAGTCAAGAAATGAGAAAACGTTTAGCATGGGCAACACAGTAATCATTGGCTTCAATCTGTGTAACAACTGGATAAACCACAAAAACCACAGAGGACAGTTTCTGGACAGTCTTAGGGAGAGTTTTTGAGAGCGGTATGTTGATCCAACTGGGGGAATAGCTACTTTTGATGTAGTATCATGTAATGAAAAAGGGCTATTTAATAATCTTGTTGTAAAAGAACCTTTAAGGATGAGGGATCAGAATATGGTAGAATTTTATGTTGTGTTTGAAAGTGAATCAAGGTAATAAGGGAAGTTATGAAGGCATGAGATACAAGTTGCCTGAGCTGGGTTGAGAAAATACATGAAAAGGCATAGCTGTACAAAGGCAATGGATAATTTTTAAAGAACTGCTACATGATTTATATCAACTACACATTCCTTCAAGATACAAAAATTCAAATGGGTTAACAACTGTGACTGACAAAGGAAGTTGAGGATTGTATAAGATTTTGTTCTTGGAAAAGCTTATAACATGTCTGGAAATGTTAATAAATCTGAAGATTTGGAAGCTTTAGAATACAGCAAAAAACGACCAAGAAATGGATGAGGAAAGGAAGAATAGACTATGAATGCAATCCAGCAAAAAATATAATAATAGATTGTAAAAGCTTCTACAGATACATAAAAAGGAAACACTTGGATAACAATCATGTGGATTCATTACAGGCAATCAGGAGGATTTGTATTGGGGAATAGAGAAATGGCAGAGAAACTAGTTATTTGTCTGTTTTCACTGAGGAAGATGCAAGAAATCTCTCAGAATTATAGATCCAAATGACTAGGGTGAATGAGGAGTTGAAGGAAATTAGTATTACTAAGACATTCAAAAGAATTCAATGAGGCTGTTTAAAAGTAATTATGAACTTAGCATGATGCTAAAATTCCGTTTATCCTTAATACAATATAGTGTAATTTAAGGGTGTTTGCAATGAGATTAAGAATGTAAAGAGATGCACTTCTTATCAGTTTTTTTGATTTTTAATTGATTAATTGCAATGTTGGGGAATCTCAACAGCAGACGCTCTGGAGAGATATAAAATAATTGCAAGGTTCTTGATTTCCACCTTTTGCTCAACCAGCAACAACTCATAAAGCACTCTGAATTTAATTTTTAAAAGTATACTTATTATATGTGGTGTCACCAGCAAGGGCAGCATTTGTTGCCCATCTCCAAATCCCCTTGAACTGAGTGACCTGCCATTTCAGGGCGCAGCAAGATTGCTGTGGGTATGGATCCACATGAAAGCCAGTCCAGATAAGAATGGCAGATTTCTTTCCCTAAAGGATGTTAGTGATTCAGGCTGATTTACGTGATAGTTTTATTATCATTTTTGATTCCAGAATATTAATTCAGTTAAAATTCCACCAACTGCCATGGTAGGATTTGATCTCATCTTCTTCTGAGCATTATCCTGGGCCTCTAGATTACTAGCCCAGTGACATTATCGCTATGCTACCATTTTCCCTGAATTACAACAAAAATGTTAAGTAATAACTTGCTCAGGGCACTTCACAAGGGCATTACAAACCAAATGAGGCATGAAGCTCTAAGGAACTATTAGGACACATGATACAAAGCAAAGAAGTAAGTTTTTTTTTGTGTGGAGTGCCTTTAAGGATGATGATAAGGTAGAGAGCG